GTTTTTTTTTCTAATTGTTTAAGCAACTTTATTAATTATATATGGTTTATAAACATCATTTTAAACATTATGCACTGTTTTTCAAAGACAGTCGTGTTATTTTATTACGCTTTGAGGAAACGTGCATAATATTTTGCTCGATGCGCCCTCTTGTGGCCTCAGGAGAGAAGCCAAAAGCTTTTTTCCCCCTAACTGAAATTATGCCTTTTAAATTCGAATATAATTCTAATTTTGATATTTAAATGGAAAATTCTAATTTAGTTTTTCAGTCATTTTGACAGCCCTACCACATTTTTCTTGACTATCATGCAGCCCAAACTGCAACAATCTTCTATTTGTCTAATCGCAACACTAAAACGGAAAAGGATTGGTGGTCCTGAATTTTAATTTGTTCAAAAGACACAAATTCTCATATTTTACATTGATGGAGAACCTCTCTTCACTCTCCGCCTTGAAACTCTTTTAGTTGCAGCTATTTTAGTTTCTGTCTCTTCCTAAAAAGTCCAGTCTGCTCTGATTGGTCAACTGCTTAGAGCATGTATGTAATGCCCCTTTCCATAACTAAGGCTGCATGAGCAGCTGTAAACAGTATTATATCTTTGGTAACTTTGGCATTGCTATTGTAAGTCCATATATGTTTTTTTTAAATAAAACAGCATCTCCTCAAAATAGTGAAATCACTCAGCCAACTGTTCTTTGAGGGCAGGGCAAAACAGCCAGTGGACAGGCATCAGAGTTGTCAAAAATATTAGTACATTGGTACCAAAACAATACTTAAATTTTGAAAATGTAACAATACCAGCCTCAAATGCTCCTGTACATATTTGTGTGAGATCTCTATGAAGAGCATCCAAGGTTTCTATTTACAAAGTTTTTGCAGTGTTGAGCTTTGTAGCCAATCACATACATGTTTGTCATGCATGTGACTGCAATGGCCAATCAGAGGCTTTTAAGTCAAAATCCACTCAATACGCCAGAGTTTGTTCAGCATCATTTCCATATAACAAAGTATAAACACAACGTAAATAAGTCAATGTGCAGTAGACAGATTTTTTTGATTATAACGGGAGTCTTCACTCAGTCAGTGAGCATGCGCTGCGGCTAAACTGAACTGATATCAGCTTCACTGATTATAAAGGAAGTGCTCTTTGCTCACTTTCTGTATATAACATTCATAATTTGAATTATTGAATCATTTTCAAGCTGCTAAGTACACACTGCAAAGTTTCACGAATGATAACCATATTGAAATGCAGGCCTGAATCTGAAATTGCTTGGATTAAGTTTTGCAATTTAGTTTAGCCTTTTCGAAGGCTACATGTTTTAATGTATTATTTACTTATAATTATTAACAGCATTAATAATTAAATTACACTTATTTAATTTTCAAATAAATAAAAAAATATGAAAATAAAATAATGACAATAGTTTTTGCTATGATACTGAAATTGGTACCGGTATTGGTACTGATTACTGAAACTTTGGTAACATGACAACTACTTGCAGGCATTATGCCGTTATGTAACATGTAGCTTTCTGCTGGAGAGATGAACTCCCTTTGGCGTGGACTTTATGCTTTGTATCTTGTATATTGCACGTCATTTACATGCACAAACAGCAATATTACACAATAAAAGATCAAATCAAAAAAGCATAATAGGTGCCCTTTAAAGAGATCTTCTCTAACAACACAGGAAAAGAATGGACACTGCTTGACTAATTATCCAGCGGTAGCTCATTAGTCGCTGGCAATGTAAAAAGAATTCCTGTGTCTGGGTTCCTGACTTCAAAAGGCACATGCCGACCAACCCGATTTGAGAAACAATTACTTTTTCCTTGTTATTCGTTTAAGTAGCAGCAGCTTTTTGAAAAACTTTAGTTCACACAAAAACGAAATCACTATTGTGATTTACTCAACCTCATGTTATGCCAAACCTGTACGATGTGTTCAATGTGTTCTGGTTTGGTTAAGTTCTGTTCCTGTGCCATATGCTCCCTGACCTAGTTTCCTAGTGTGTGACAGTTTGTTCCCTTAATTGCTGCTGTCGTTCACCTGTTGTTCTATTAGCTTACTCATAAGTCTTCCCTGTTACTGAAGCCCTACTTTTTTCAAGTAACGGATTACTTTTTAATTTACAAGAGAATATCTGAGTTACTTTTTCAAATAAGTAACGCAAGTTACTTTTTTTTCCAATTTATTGATTGACAGCTCTGGTGTTGCCATGGTGACAGAAATCAGAAGATGTTACTGTAGTTCTAAAATAAATATAAATATGCATTAATTCATCTCTCACACACACAAAAAAAAAACTGATTCAGCATTCCTCAAAATGAATAAAAATAACGCAACTCAAAATATGATGCAAACCTGCAGTAATTACATGTTAAACAACACAAATATCCTTTATGTATTTATTCCCATTCTATTAACCAATGTCTTTGCTTCTGACCTTCGATGATCCAGTTCAACCGTACTAATAAGCACAAATTACTCTAGAGAAACATTTGTGTGTCTTTTTTTTATTGCTGAAGTGTGTTGAAATCTCTTCGTCTGCATTCTACTGTACGGACGTAAATTTACTTTCCCTTCAGCCTGAGGCTTATTCATTTCACTTTTGGTGTGAAAAGGCTTTTATATTTGCCAAAAATATAACTTTTTTATTTTAAAAACAAACAAGCAAGCCCTGTCCAGATTTAAAAAGTAACGCAAAAGTAACATAACGCATTACTTTCCATAAAAAGTAACTAAGTAACGTAATCAGTTACTTTTTTTATGGAGTAACGCAATATTGTAATGCATTACTTTTAAAAGTAACTTTCCCCAACACTGGCCCTATGTTTCCGTAACTTGGATTGTATTGTGTGAATGACTAACGTGGTTGTTATCTAAATTTATCTCCAACAATCTCTTAAGTTTTCCTGTGTGGATTATAATAAAACTGTCCTAGTTTCTATCTCCTTCATCGTGCTTCTCTACAACCGCAGACACGTTACAAGATGCTTGTTTCCATACAATGCACTAGTCAAGCTCCAGATGTAATGAAAAAGCATAATAAAACCAGCAGTTTGTGTACTATATTCCTAGTTGTCTGTGGTTTTTACAAAAGTTAAAAAATGTTGGATGACATGAAGATGAGTAAATGATTACAGACAATCTATTCCATTAAATCAACTATCAAAACAAGTTTGCAGGATTGAATTGCCGCTACACACTAGCCCTGACCTGATGAGGCTCACTCTTTGGGTCGCTGTTTCAGTAGCTTCTAGGGTTGGTGGGGCGCCTTCGACGAAGGCAATTCCATAAAGCAGGAAGTTGTTGAGGAAGTTCTTCAGCTCCTCGTCGCAGCTCATGAACTTGTCCCAACTGGCAGAAGGCACCTTAGCGCTGGAGTAGATATCTGCGTTCCACAGGATTCGAGGTTGCATGGCACTTCTCTTCCGGCCCTCATAGCTGTTTTGGGCCAGCCATGTTAGGTTGTACCGCGTCATGTGACCATCTGGCCCTGGAGGGGATCACAGACAAGGTGGAAATGACTTCATTAGGAGATAACTATGATCAGTGAGTTAAAATTTCATTGGTTTTTATCAGTGGAGGATGTTACTAGTTTAGTGATGAGTCCATCAGGGTCTCTAGGGTTGAGCTCAATCAACAAAAATTAATTTGTACTTTTTCCATTAAAAAAATAAATAAAATTCTGGGTTACAGTGAGGCACTTACAGTAGAAGTGAATGGGGACAAAATGTACTCAGTTTCAATAGTTGTAGCCAACACCATAAATGTGTGAAAACATTTCTTATTAAGTTTGTCTGTGTAATAACTATGATCAGGGAGTTAAAATTTCATTGGTTTTTATCAGTGGAGGATGTTACTAGTTTAGTGATGGGTCCATCAGGGTCTCTAGGGTTGAGCTCAATCAACAAAAATTAATTTGTACTTTTTCCATTTAAAAAAACCCCCAAAAATTCTGGGTTACAGTGAGGCACTTACAGTAGAAGTGAATGGGGACAAAATGTACTCAGTTTCAATAGTTGTAGCCAACACCATAAATGTGTGAAAAAATTTCTTATTAACTTTGTCTGTGTAAAGTTACATCCAATTTTACAACTTCATTGCCACTGTAACACAAGACTATAAACCCTGAAACCCTAAAGTAGCTAGAAATGCTGATTTAAACAGCTTTACAACACCAAAAATACATACATTTTCACAGAAGGTTTAATATTAAGTTTAACTTCCATTGAATCGGACTCATAAATGTAAAGTTAAATTGATGACGGTCTTTTAAGATGGATTTCAAGAGCTTTAGGACTGCAAAATACAGCAATATTTCAAAATAATCCTTATCCTTACAAATTACTCGTTATCCTTAGAGTTTACACACTGTCTTACTAACATAATGAAAACTGAATCATTTAATTTATTCCATGAACTTGTATTCCTCATACCAGATATTTACCATAAGTATTTTTTACCATATGCTATGTATTTAAATACACTTTGCATTAGTTTATAGAAGTGGCAGCTAATAATATATATTATAAAATATATTATAATTATAAAAGCCCGAGAGAAATCTAGAAATGTATCATATCTGATGCTGATATTAAAATGGTCAGTCTTAATACTGTGATTTGATTTCCTTAATTCATTTGATTACTTTTTCAAGTCCATATTGAAAGGTTAGATTAGTGTGCAAAAAAAAACAGTAGCTTTTAAAAACACAAGGAGAAGATGTTCACATTCGGACGGGATTAGATTTATCAGGGGAAGGTGATTTGCTGTGCTATTTTTACAGAGGTTAGGTGAGAAAAACACAGACTTGACAGATTCAGACTGGATTAAAATCTCAAAGCACACACATTTCTCTAACGTCCTCTGGGAAAACTAGTCCTGTCCAAACAGGGCTTTAAAAATTAAAGATGATTTTCTGAAAAGCTGCTTTTAAACCATATGGATTGTGAAAAGAGCTGTACAAATAAAAATGTTAACACTTTAGTATACACTGTAAAAAATGACCGTGAATTTAACGGTAAAACACTGTAAAAATGCTACAGTAAAAACCTGTTAAATGGTTAATGGTAAATTCCCCTACTATATACGGTGAAAAACTGTATTGGACATTACATGTATTGGACATTAATTTTACGGTAGTATACCGTATTTGGAAGTGAAAAAGTGAAAAAGCGTATAATTTACAGTGAATAACCGTAAATTGACATTCCCAAAATTCCCTGCATTACATTTCAAATTTGATGTTTTTTTGTTGAAACAACCATGTTTCTACATGAGTTTTTCATCTCTTTCATATATGTTATTATTTAAAAGCTGCTTGTGATGGGCTTTGGTTCATCATGTTCACCATCTGCATTTGGTGGTTATCAGTGTATTACAAAGGTACAAAACAGATTTCAGTACTTCAATAGGTTGGTATATTAACATTATATCAGTTAATGAAATTACGGTATTTAACTGTAAATTTAAGTTAAAACCGTAAAACCTAAAACGTTGCTACCGTATTTTTTTACAGTAAAATTCCGGCAACCACAGCTGCCGTTTTTTTACCGTATATTTTACGGAATTTTTTTTACAGTGTAGGGACCAATTCTCACTAACTAGTAACTAGTTACTTATCAGCATACATATTACTAGCATTTTGGCTGTTTATTAGTACTTATAAAGCACATATTAATGCCTTATTCTGCATGACCATATTCTAGATCATTTAATCCACCCCATACCTAAACTAACAACTACCTTACTAACTATTAATAAGCATTAGGAGTTTATTGAGGCAAAAGTCATAGTTAATAGTGAGAATTGGTCCCCAAACTAAAATGTGACCATAAAAATTATTTGACAAGATAAAAATGTTTAATGCAAGAGCTACTGTACTGAGTGCAGTGCTACTTTTTCTTTGGTATAATGTGAACTGAATTGTGCACAGTAATATTAAGATTATATAAATGTTTTAAGAAAGTAAACTGGGCCCATTTTGATTTCATGTCAACTTAAAAAAGGGAAACTGATGATAAAAAACTAACGTCAGGGCACTTAGCAGTTAACACCGCTTCACACCAAATATTTCACCAGTCGACTGACACAATCCTGGGTCAAAGTAACACAAGACACAAAGTCATGAGAAAGTGAGGACTGCTGTTACTATGTAACTAACTGTAAAAATAATGTAATGCAGTCTGTAAAGTGAATCTCACAGATGTTCTGTCGGCTGAGTTTCGTAAGAGTCAAAGGTTTGTCTGTCTTTCTCACAGAGTCTTATCTTTACTTAGGAAAGAGATATCCATCTTTGTTTTGGAAGAGTGTTAAACTTATCTTAGCACAATAGGATCACAATCTCTGAGGAGAGAAACACGAAGACACAGTTAAAGTCAGATTACCTTCCAATCCCAACATTAAGCAATCTTGCAGAAAACCGTGAACATTTTGTATAGGTGACACGTTTAATGATTTTGTTTTGTTTCCCGTACAAATCCATTCTGAAAGAATGTTTACCAGGAAATGAGAGACAGGGAATTAATAAAGGTGTGCCAACAAATCAGACAAGTCAGATAAACAAAGAATTAAAAATCGCATGAATGCCAATCTCATCCTAAAAGGGTTAGCTCACCAAAAAAATAAAAATTGCTGGTGCATCTAATTTTAAAGGCTGTGCATTTGTCAGCTGCATATGTTAATTGCAAAAAAGTAACCATTACATTTCAAAGAAAGAACAATATTACACAAGGAATAACAGCCGAGTTTATAATGGTTACTTTTGTAAAATGAGACATCCTCGATTACATATGCGGCCGACAATTGCAATCTCTGAAGGGTGCGGCCTTTGAAAATGAGACACAGCTGTTGTCATTAATTTGAAACATCTTCCTTATGCTGGGTAGTACACACTAAAAGATTTTTAAAATCTTGTAAGATCTTCAAAATGTGAGAGACCACAAACATGTTGAATATTTACGATTCGCGATCGAGGCGCCTCCGACGTTCTTCTGAGCAGATTTAGTCGCTCTTAACACACCTCACACCACAGGAAAATATGATAAGATAATCTTTAGAACCACCAAGATAATCGGGACATTACCTAGGATTGTCGGAAGGGGAGAAATCGGCCCAAAATCAGCCCGATTATCTTGTGGTGTGTACCCAGCATTACTGTTTTGAACAGCAGCTCAAAGTGATCAAGTCTGTCAAGCTGCAAAAACAGAGAACAACAACAAATGGAACTAATCCATATTTGTCAGTAAAGACCTGGCGAGAATATTGGCTTAAGATTTAGATTATCAGTGAATAATAACAAAATGTTGGTCTTAGGGTGTGAAATTAACTTTTTCACTCACCAGCCAATTTGGCTACTACATTTTTAAGTTACCGGCCATTCATAACTTCTACTAGCCAAAATAAATAAATAAATGAATAAAACACGCACAAAACGGATATAAACCAAATGAACTACGTCACAGCTTCATATTTAAATATATCTATTATAAAATCTGAATTTCATATCATTCCAGGGTATCTAGGATTTTTAAAGAGATGAGTCAGAAGTATCAATTATTACATTAATTTAAACAATTATTATATGAATTTAACAACATATAAATATATCTTAATGTCTTAATTGCTTAGATTTTTAAAATGCATTAGCATTAGCTTCTTGTCGATCCACCGGTTCATATTTACAGTGTGTTTGCTGGGTCGATTTTCGCAATGGTCTGCACAAAAACAGCTGAAACAAACAAATTCATCCTCTGCCACCAGGAGGCGCTTGGCAGATTATAGCCATTTCCACGGTAACGGATTTTGATGACTCACAAGTTCAGTATTGTGCTAAATCTGCTGGCTTACATTAACTTCCACAAAAATTTAAAGAGTGAAGAAAAGTAACCCGCCAAAATAGGCTAGTGATTTGACAACGTTACCCGCCACAGTTGACTTTTACCCGCATTTGGCAGGTTGGCAGGTGTTAATTTCAAACCCTGGTTGGTCTGTTCCCTACAAAAAGTCATGCACATGAGCCATCTGGGCTACTTTTATAATAATAGAAAAGGCAGACAAAATAACGGAATAGCTAAACAAAATAGCAAAACGTTGACTATGGGCTACTTTTATGGTGGATTTCAGTTCTTTTTGGTCCTTAAATGTGAGTAAATAAAGGCAGAATGTTCATTTCATTTGGTGAGCTCTCCCTTTAAGGTAGTTTCCCGGGCACATATTTAGTGGTGCCCTTCAACTGAAGTGATACTGATTTACAGCTGAATTGGATTAATCCTTGTTCTGCACTTACATGTCAGGAAGAGGTTGTCTTCATCCACTCTGCTCTTTAAAGGCCTGATGTTCAGATCAATGCTGGCAGTGTCCAGGTTACGCTGGTTTGTTTTTGAGTTGTAGCATGAAGCCGAGCGGCAGTGATCTCGCAGCCAAACGTAGTCAAAGTGCATTACAAGACCACCATAGTTGAGCTCTGCAGAAATATATTAATTAATTACACTCGTTTAAAACCATTCTTTTTTTTTAATTACTGTTTATTATGGCATGTAATAATTTAAAATATGATGTCCATCAATAAATTCTGTAATGATGCACATATATCAGTGTAAATAATGTGGATATAGTAGTGATAGCAGCCAGGCTGATTAATCAACCATTTTAGTGAATTTTGAATAAATAGAGTGTAAAATAAAATAATCAAAATATAAATTCAAATATATTTGTTTGTATCTTGTTTGCTATCATGAGTAATGCTATCATAAGTAATATAATTTAATCAGCCATTAAATAAAGAAAAATATAATAATAATAATTTATCTAAAACACCTTGTTAGATCTAGTGTTATTTTAGTATCATTGAGATACTTTAATAATTTTTTATATTTTGAATTAGATTTAATGTTTATGCTTTCATTTTAATTGTAAAGTTTTAGTTATTTTGTTATGACATTTTTATTAGTTTTCATTGTTTTTAAATGTCTATGTAGTTTTTTTATTACTTTTTATTTCAGTTATAGTTATTTTAGTACATCATGTTAAACTAAATGAAAATAAGAAATGTTGCCTTGTCAACTAGCAATAATAAAATAAGTTTAAGTTTGAACCCTGGTTGGTCTGTTCCCTACAAAAAGTCATGCACATGAGCCATCTGGGCTACTTTTATAATAATAGAAAAGGCAGACAAAATAACGGAATAGCTAAACAAAATAGCAAAACGTTGACTATGGGCTACTTTTATGGTGGATTTCAGTTCTTTTTGGTCCTTAAATGTGAGTAAATAAAGGCAGAATGTTCATTTCATTTGGTGAGCTCTCCCTTTAAGGTCGTTTCCCGGGCACATATTTAGTGGTGCCCTTCAACTGAAGTGATACTGATTTACAGCTGAATTGGATTAATCCTTGTTCTGCACTTACATGTCAGGAAGAGGTTGTCTTCATCCACTCTGCTCTTTAAAGGCCTGATGTTCAGATCAATGCTGGCAGTGTCCAGGTTACGCTGGTTTGTTTTTGAGTTGTAGCATGAAGCCGAGCGGCAGTGATCTCGCAGCCAAACGTAGTCAAAGTGCATTACAAGACCACCATAGTTGAGCTCTGCAGAAATATATTAATTAATTACACTCGTTTACAACCATTCTTTTTTTTTAATTACTGTTTATTATGGCATGTAATAATTTAAAATATGATGTCCATCAATAAATTCTGTAATGATGCACATATATAAGTGTAAATAATGTGGATATAGTAGTGATAGCAGCCAGGCTGATTAATCAACCATTTTAGTGAATTTTGAATAAATATAGTGTAAAATAAAATAATCAAAATATAAATTCAAATATATTTGTTTGTATCTTGTTTGCTATCATGAGTAATGCTATCATTGCTATCATAAGTAATATAATTTAATCAGCCATTAAATAAAGAAAAATATAATAATAATAATTTATCTAAAACACCTTGTTAGATCTAGTGTTATTTTAGTATCATTGAGATACTTTAATAATTTTTTATATTTTGAATTAGATTTAATGTTTATGCTTTCATTTTAATTGTAAAGTTTTAGTTATTTTGTTATGACATTTTTATTAGTTTTCATTGTTTTTAAATGTCTATGTAGTTTTTTTATTACTTTTTATTTCAGTTATAGTTATTTTAGTACATCATGTTAAACTAAATGAAAATAAGAAATGTTGCCTTGTCAACTAGCAATAATAAAATAAGTTTAAGTTTGTTTTTACAGTTTTAGTTAACTAGAATAACCCTGGTTTGATCACTGTATCTATCTATAATTATTTGGTTGAGATATAAAATGATCCTTGGTAAATATTCAGTTATTTTGAAAGCAAGTCTCTCACCCAGGCAGTCAGGCAGCAGCTGATAGTTGCATGAAGATGAATGGGTTGCAGTGTGCTGTAATCTCTTGCTCTGAGAACTGGCTCCCAAACACTTTAAACCTTGGTTCAAGTGCACATATCCACTCAGTCTGGCCAACATCCTTATCAATGCCATAGTGACCTGCAAAGAGAGAAACCCCCGTGCACATAACGCACTAATCCTAAAACAATGCAGCCAAATGCACTCACATATTATCTGGATAACATACAGCTAGTAACAAAGTAATATAGTGTATCAAATTCTGCATGCATGCTTACTTGCAGCGCGCGAGTCGATCCGGAACTTCAAGCTCCTGTGTGCGGTTTTGACAAGTGTGAAACTTCGGTGAACTTCACTTCGCGTCTGTTTCTTAAAGAGCTGACATATAAAATCGTTAACATTAATCATTGAACTTGAGCTTCATCCCCGCCATTGTGTCTGTGTGTTCATGTGGTGTCCACGCAAGCGCTCAAACCCGCCGATTCTACTACGTTGAAGACTTGCTTAATATTCATGAGCCAGAGCTGCGCCATTGGAGGTTACCGAGCAACGTTAGCATCACGTAATTAATATTAATAAGGCTTCACCATGAAGCTTACCACGCAACGTCACTTCGGATGTATTCATATTAATAAGCCAAGCCTTTACCGCAGTAGGATTCAGTTATAGGGGTTTATGTTCAATATAAAATATGTATGCATATTCATACATTTATTTACCAGGTTAAAAGGCTTATTAAACGCCATTTACTTTACACTATCGACATTAAAACTATATTTATTTTATAACATTAACATTTTAAACATTTTCATATCACTTCAGAAATAATAATACAGTAATAATCATCCGTAAATAAATGTAAATAAAAGCCACTTTCACATTTCTTCCTCACAACTTACTAGTATGTTACTAGTTGTTTTATTTTTAACTTGTTAATAGGCCTACTTGCTCATTAAATACTAGTACTTTCACATTTTTCGGTAGATAGTACACTAGAAAGCACTAGGTAGTAGTAATAATAATAATAATAATAATAACTGTAGAACAATAACAATCTCTCTCTCTCTCTCTCTCTCAAACCCGCCGATTCTACTATGTTGAAGACTTGCTTAATATTCATGAGCCAGAGCTGCGCCATTGGAGGTTACCGAGCAACGTTAGCATCACGTAATTAATATTAATAAGGCTTCACCATGAAGCTTACCACGCAACGTCACTTCGGATGTATTCATATTAATAAGCCAAGCCTTTACCGCAGTAGGATTCAGTTATAGGGGTTTATGTTCAATATAAAATATGTATGCATATTCATACATTTATTTACCAGGTTAAAAGGCTTATTAAACGCCATTTACTTTACACTATCGACATTAAAACTATATTTATTTTATAACATTAACATTTTAAACATTTTCATATCACTTAAAAAATAATAATAATACAGTAATAATCATCCGTAAATAAATGTAAATAAAAGCCACTTTCACATTTCTTCCTCACAACTTACTAGTATGTTACTAGTTGTTTTATTTTTAACTTGTTAATAGGCCTACTTGCTCATTAAATACTAGTACTTTCACATTTTTCGGTAGATAGTACACTAGAAAGCACTAGGTAGTAGTAATAATAATAATAATAATAATAACTGTAGAACAATAACAATCTCTCTCTCTCTCTCTCTCTCAAAGGTAAAGTATAGCGTGGCTACTGACACCTGGTGGTGTAAATCTGAAACAGCAACACTGCAGAATGAACAAGCAGCATAGAAAACTGCTGAGCAGCAATGCTGTGTGCAAAGAAATAAAGAAATTCAATGAAATGGTGTGTTATGTTTTTATGTAAACTCAGGTAAGTATGTAGGTCTTTGAAGACGTAGTCTATTATTAGGTACTTTTTTAAATATTATTTTGATGTATGGTAAAGTAAAATTTAAATGTATCTGTGAGCTTCCAACACCCTAAAACATAAATTAATTAGTTATATAATTGTTATAAATTGATGATTATTTCCTTATGGTATAGTGCCTTTAAATTGATTACTATTAAAAATGACGTCATCAGAGAAGGAATTTCCAGTGCATTTAGTTGCACGGATTAATTGTTGACCTCAAGACTAGCAATGTGTGCTAACAATGTAAATAGTGTAAATTTTGATTTCATAAGGACTTTAAAAATAACAGTCAAATGTTTCCAAGAACAATTATAGGTAATTAACTGACAAAAGTCAGACTTTTGACAAAATAAACTTATAAAATTCACATAGATGGTTGAATATAATGAATAGTATATGCCATGTAATTTGGACAATTATTGAGATGCACTCTAAAAAAAATTATTCAGGGGACCTGTTACCACAACTTGGTTGCAAGTTCAAAAATTGTAATTTATTCACTTATATTAACCCTTGTGCGTCACTTAAAAAAAATTACACATAGGTCCATAGTGGACAAAAATGTCCGTGTCAAAAAACTGTCATAAAAATTTGAAGCTTGGGAGCACAGAGTTAAGTTTGGTCTCATTTTAAAGAAGACCCATGGCAGATTATTGCTGAAGTAAAAAAACTTTAAAAAGTGAAACCAAAAAAAAGTTATAGAGGTTTACGTTTATGAAAATGATTTATGAACGATATTTTATATAAATTATATATATTTATGAAACCTGTTGAACTCTATACCTGCTAGAAAATCAAAGCCATTTACAAGAACACACACACACACACAATTTTTTTTTATGACACACAAACCACACTCTGGCATCCATAACAACACACCCACACAATTATAACTGCATTATTTATCCAATTGGCTCTATAATATGCAGAAGCAGAAAACAGGAATAAAACGAGTATTTGCTTTATAGGCCAAACCTGAAAAAATGGCTCCATCTGGTAAAAAAAAAAAAAATTAAAGCCTTGCCAATATAATGAAAGCCTATCAACAAAAATTGCATAATTTTACAGTTAAATGGCACTGCGATTAAAAATAGCAGTTTTAATGGGTTTCAATGGGGACATTTTTGTCCTTAAGGTCCTGAGAGGAACATGAAAAGGACAAAAATGTCCAAAAGGCCGCACAAGGGTTAAACCTCAACATTATTTCGATGAGTTATATTGCCATAAACATCCGTGCATTGCCTGGCCTCACAAATGCTCTGGATGAATGGGCAAAAATTCCTACAGAAACACTCCAAAATTGTGGAAAGCCTTCCCAGAAGACTAGAAGCTGTTGTAGGGACCAACCCCATATCAATGTCTATGTATTTAGAATGCAATGTCATGAAAGTCAGTGTTGTTGGTGTAATGATCAGGTGTCCCCTTTTGTCCATATAGACTTATTGTGATTGCTTGAAAACTAAAACGCATTAAAAACAAACAAATAATATATGTTTGGTTTCCCCATACCCTGACACTAGGCTACACCTTTTGGACGTGTCATTTATCCTCCATACCTCATCTTTATTACTGCGCGTTCATGGTGACCTGTACTGAGCGTGATGAGTCAAATGAGAGGCAAAATTATTTCATACTAAACAAGAATCAAAGTAAACATTTACATTTAGTCATTTAGCAGACACTTTTATCCAAAGCGACTTACAAATGAGGACAATAAAAGCAGTCAAAACTAACAAAAGAGCAACAATATATAAGTGCAAATGACAAGTCTCGGTTAGCCTAACGCAGTACACATAGCAAGGTGTATATATATATATATATATAATACACACACACACACACACACAAAGAAAAACAAGTAGATAGAATAGAAAAAATAGAAAGCTAGTGTTTTTTTTTGTTTGTTTTTTTTTTATAAAAAAAGAAGATAAATATAGATAAAGTAGAATTAAAATAGAATAGAAAGTGCGTAAAAGATTTAGAGGGTCAAATAAAATACAAAAATAAAAATAAATAAACAAAAAGCACTATTATTATAAAAATAATTTGAGTTTATTGGGTATAAGTATATATTTACAAAACAATTATTTTATGTGTGTTGCGTTTACACTTAATCAGGTGACTGTCATGTGATGAACTGATTGTTTAAATGGACTCTGAGTGTGTTTGTAGTTTGACACCCTGATGAAGGCTTGTTAGCCGCAACGCGCACTTGAAAGTTGTTTTTAATGTAAAGCCATGGGAATAAAGGCTTTTTATTTTTTTACACTACATTTTAGAGTGCCTTGGCTTATGAGTTTTTTAACTATGTTTCTTCTCTTATCAGTTGTGTACATTAGGGTTTTATCTTAAATCTAATGTTGTTAAATGAATGTTTACTGCATTATTTCAGTATCATGTGTGTCACCGCGATGGTGTTTAGTGTTTGTGTGAATGACACCCTCCTCAGCTTGTTTAAAGCTGTTTGTGATGAGCTTTGATTCATCATGTGACTTTCTCATCACCACCTGTTTTTGATGGTTATCAGTGTATTACAATGGTTCAAAACAGATATTAGTACTTCGATATGTTGGTTTATTAACATTACATCAGTTAATGAAATACGTATTTATTGTGAATTTAAGTCAAGTCTGTAAAACCTAAAATGTTGCTACCATATTTTTTACTGTGAAGTTCTGGCAACCACAGCTGCCTGTATTTTACGGTAAATGTCACAGATTTTTTTTTTACAGTGTAGTCTTTTTAAAAGTATCAGTGACTCGAACAGACTTCATGTATCATCTCCGCTTAAAAAGATGCATTCTAATCCTGTTTACACTAAATAAGCGTGCCCTCTAGTGGGTTTGTCCTTATGAGCTTTGGAGAACCTAACAATCCTGGATCATGACAAATCGTCAACAGTAAAATCTAAATAACTGAGTAATCACACACGGGGCCCAGGACTAAGAAACACACAGCCTCGGTAGGTTTCAGCCTTCTGATTGAGAAACACTCACGTATTAAGCTGCGGTCACACAACGGATGCTGCAACAGTCATAATACGATGCCATGCTCCGCCACATCAGCCACATTTTAATTATACAAAGCAAAGGACAGGAGGATATTATATTAAGTATGAGTGTTTCTGTACAACACAATAGGCCTACTTGCATATTTCTTAAAATACATAGAGGCCAGACACGTACATTGAAGTCTAAGTCAGTCATGAGTGCCTATGGCTTTTTGTTTTTTTAATAGCGCTTTATACAATACAGATTGTGTCAAAGCAGCTTTACAGTGACAAACAGGAAAATAGTTTGTCAGTAATGCAAGAGGACAATAACAAACAGTCAATTTTTCAGTTAAGGTCAGTTCATTGATGTTTCAGTGATTTTATCATCCTGTCAGCTGGGAGGATCAACTCAACCCCAATGCGGTTACAAAAACACTCTACACAACTCAGGTCAAGAATAACAAATCTCATTTATTTACAAAAATTGTAAGAGGGTTCAAAAACTTTGAGAGGGGGCTCAGGCCAAAACAATAAACAACCTAACTAGTTAAGGGAGAAACTAACTAAACTACAAAAGAAAAGAAAACAAAATACAGCGAAAATAACTCAC